GCAAGACGAGTTAGGCGGCGACTTGAAAAAGTTTTTTTTTCAATGAAAGATGATGTCTCAAAACCGCCAAACTCACTGGTTTGACTAGTCTAGGGGCTAGACGTTGTTCTTGTTTGCTACGCCGATAACTGGCCACCGCTATAACCGGCCACCGCGAGAGGGTGCTATCACACCCACGAACCTGTCAGAACAACGTCTAGGGTACTTGCTTAAATTTCCCCCCGAAAAATGGGGGGAACTAGTGTGCGTGCGCCAATTTTGTATGTAATTTCCTCTTCGCGCACTCACGAAACAGATCTGCCACAAAACTGCACAATAGTACAATAGTCTGGTAGCTCGCTATACTACTGGCTGGACGTTTCAGACATACAGTGGATAATTGTCTGCTGAGCCGCGGGTTGCCATCTGGCCGTGTACGACGCCGGGCCCGTCCGGGGTAGCATTGCAGTACGCTCGCACTGTTTGGTTTGTAAAATACGACGGAGAAATGGTGGAGAAGTTGCCATTTCCAACTTAGCGCAGTATGATACACCAAAGTATAGCGCCGTAGGCGCCGTACACGTACACGCACACACGTACACATCAGTGCGACCGTAAGGTCAGAGCTAAATTCTGCTAAATGCACATAAAAAATCTGTCAGATTTATCAAAAATCGGCCAAATTCCCCAGAATTACTCGAAATACACTATAAACATTTAAAATCACATGTAGATTGGTAGTATTACCCATAATTCACATTATAAACATTCTACAGTCACATAAAGATGTTATGAAATTATCCAGTAAATTTCGGGGAAAATGCAGATTCGGCCACGACGACGTTTCCCAGTGAACTTCAGCACCTAGACCCAGAGTTGTAACGAGTCACTGATTTTTGTGACTCGAGTCTAGTCGAGTCATTTTAAAGAAGTGAATAGAATCGAGTCGAGTCAAAGGTCGAGTCGAGTCGAGACAAATATTTAGCTCCAGTCAATTCGAGTCACGATTATTTGAACACTATGTATACCAAAATTTATAAAAGGAGGCCATAACTTTAGCGAGCGTTCAAATCCAAAAGCTTCATAAGAAATCGCCAAAAACCGATGATGAAACAGCGAATTAGAAAATGTGTTTAAAAATCTGGTTCCTGGATAGTATTTTGTGCGTTCTAGAACCATGAGGTGGGAGTCTGTGACACTTGTATATTTGTACATGACTGCTATTTGCAAAGTAAAGTGAGCATAAATTTTGCACCGTAAGTCATTGCGAATACTTTTCGCAAAGTTGCGCTTTATATTTTTGGGACTCGATCGAGTCTTAATTATCAGCCTTCGCTCGAGTCGAGTCGAGTCCTTTGATGAGGGACTGGAGTCGAGTTGAGTTATTTACTCGCAGTAAAGTCCAGTTGAGTCATTTACCCTTAGGGACTCGAGTCGAGTCGAGTCACCAAAAATTGTGACTCGAGTCGGACTTGAGTCGAGTAATTGACTCGAGTCATTACAACTCTGCCTAGACCAGCCAACTTGTCCCATTATGCCAGGGTTTGTTTGAAAGGATTGAAGCTTTTTAAACAAATATGTATCATTTTTTGTTCAAATTTGTTGTTCAGATTTGTTTATTTTTTGTTCAAATTTGCTGTTCTCATCAAATCAAATTTACAACCATTTTTGCAGAATTCTGCCAGAAATCTGCCCCCCAAAATTCCAGTCTGTCAAATTTTCTGTCAAACTCTCGTTTTTTTTACAAAATTCTGACAAAGTTAGCCGAAAATGGGCTAAAACGGTCACCTTGGTACACATGCACCATTACATGTACATGTATACACATATTGTACATCATGATTCAATCCATGGGATACGGTGCGGTATGGTACGTCAGGGTATTAGACTATGAATATGCATGTATTTGGGGTAATTATGCAACATATATAATGCGCGCTACGTACATTAGGCAAAACAGATGCGCGCGCATTACACAACCAATAGCAAGTCCCCTAGACGTTGTTCTGACAGGTTCGTGGGTGTGATAGCGCCCTCTCGCGGCGGCCGGTTATAGCGGTGGCCGGTTATCGGCGCAGCAAACAAGAACAACGTCTAGCCCCTAGACTATGGTTTGACTGGAATCCTGCTGCTGCACAATTTTAACGTGTTTTTTTTATTGAGTTATGGTCGAGAATAAGCTTTATGTGGCCTCTCTGGACTCCCATATATTTGCACTAAGTTTAGTCGGGCACCATTTGCAGTCATCAGCCAACATTTGAAGCAAAAAATCAGGTAAAAAAAAAAAAAAAGGCGCGTCGCCGCACCACTTTTTGGGCAAGCTCCATACCAGAAAATGCCCACCAACGATTCATGATTGTTACAATTGTATATAAATGTAGTCAGCCTCGCTGATCTGACAGTAGATAACCAGTGGCCAGCTGTACTTGACATAGTTTAGCAGTGCGTCTTTCCTGAGATCAACCACGTGGTGGCCCGGGGACATTATTTAGTCCATGGGTTGGTTGGTGGGTCTGGCTGGGATCGTTTATTCATGAATACTTCCTTCAGTCACTCCATCAGACGTCACTTTTGTAAAATGTAGCACATTTTCCTTCAAATACACAAAACTATCAAACATGTACATGTAACTCTAATTTCCGAGACGTCTTCTCGATTTGTTGAGCATTTTAACAAGTTAAATCACTATCCATCTTCAACTATACATCGCCTGCAAGAGATTAGAAAACAACAAACATTATTTTATCGCAACATTTCCAAAGTCTCCTTGTAAATTTCAGTGTGGCCGATGTTTCTTCGGATATTATTTGAGCAGTTGCCATTATCCACTGTCGTCACCGCACAGGTCTATTGTACTACCGTGCTGTGGGCACCCAGCGTGACCATTTCATTGTGCTATTGTTAGGCAATTTTGGGCGTGATCCCGTGGATTAGGAACAATAGGCCTGTTCCTCCCGTGCGCTCGCGTCGGAACAGGAACAATCCTTTTGATCTCCTCCCTTAATTCCTTCTTTTCTACAGGTACCTTCCCGCAAGACTTGTCTCGGGCCATTGTCACACCTATCCTCAAAAAGCCCAATCGGGATCAAAATGAGTTCAAGAACTACCGTCCGGTTTCTAATATTCCTTTTCTTTCCAAGGTTATCGAAAAGGTTGTCCTGAATTGTGTCAACAATCACGTGGAAGACAACTACCTGCACCAATCATTCCAGTCTGCCTATAAGGCCAATCATAGCACTGAGACAGGTCTCTTATTGGTGAAGGATGACATAATGCGTGCTGTCGACAAAAAGATGGCTGTATTACTTGTCATGTTAGACTTGTCTTCGGCTTTCGACACTGTAGATCACAATATTCTGATTACGAGACATCATAAAACCTTTGGTATCAATGATGTTTCCCTAAGCTGGTTCAAGAGCTACTTTGAGGGACGTCGAAGTCGTGTTTGTGTTGGTAGTGTTTGTTCCGACGAGCAATCTGTTGATTTCGGCGTCCCTCAAGGCTCAGTGATTGGACCATTGCTCTTTACATTCTACACTAAGCCTGTTTCTGACATAATTGAGAATCACAATTTACATTACCACATTTATGCAGATGAAACCCAACTTTACACCTATTTTAATCCTTCCATCCCTGGGGATTCAGACAAAGCACTCGACAGGCTTTCTACCTGTATCATGTACATCAGACACTGGATGGGTTCTAACAAACTCAAGCTCAGTGATGCCAAAACAGAATTTTTCGTTGCAGCATCACCTCGAGTCATCAACTCACTGACGGATCTCGCACTTCATGTTGGAGAAACCATTATTCGGCCATCTCACACAATTAGAAATCTAGGGGTTATCTTTGATTCAACAATGTTTATGCCACATCATGTTACAAATGTTTGTAAATCCTTAAACTTTCACCTCTGCAACATAAATCGCATTCGCAAATTCATTGATCAACACACCTGTCATCATGCTGTACGCTCTCTTTTCACGTCTCACCTGACTATTGTAATTTCTTACTGTACGGTATTAGCCAAGGTGACATCAACAGACTACAAAAACTTCAAAATCGTTCTGCCAGGCTTGTTTTCTCAGTTGGCAGATCTGAAGATGCTTCCAGTCTTATTCAGCAGCTACCGGTACACTGGTTACCACTCAAACATCGCATCCTTTTCAAATTACTCATGCATGTCTACAAGTCACAACACTACACAGCTCCCCCTTACTTGGTTGAACTTCTTTCCTTTCATGAACCTGGTAGGGAGGTGCTCAGGTCTTCATCTGACAAATCCCGCTTCTGGACAGCCGTCACCACCAAGAGTACAGGAGACAAAGCATTGTCCTTTGCAGGTCCTAAAGAATGGAACAAGATCCCATCACACATCAGAGACTCTCAATCTATCCACATTTTCAAGAAACTTCTCAAAACCCATCTCTTTGTTCTATACCACTAGCTCTTCTTGATTGTTTCTTCTCTGTAAAGCGCTTTGATCTTGCTAAAAGCGCTATATAAATCACCAGTTTATTATTATATGTATTAGTTATTATTATTATTCTTATTACTATTATTATTATTATCACAATCACCAACAGTTTGTTATATACCATACAATGACAACTCTATATTACTAGTTGAAAGTTGCCATTTCTCCTGGCTTTTATATGAAACCACCAGATTTATTAATTTGTAGTTTAGTTCTATAACATTCATTCCGTTGAATGTCTAGCTAACCAACTTCATAGTTTCATGATTTCATTTACATTTCCCGTCCATGATCTTTCAAAATCCACAAGGATGTTTGGTAGGATTGTGGAGGATTCAAGAAAGTACAACCAAGCCACTTGCACTTTACTTGTAGCTGAATGCTTCAGGAAAGTGTAAGTACAAACAAAGTGCCATTGGTTTCCTGCTCAGCGGTGGATTTTGGAGACTCCAGCAAGTTTTCTAGCAAACAAATACCCAGGAAGTCAAGACCAATGTTAAGTAGTGAACGTTAATAATCGAACTGCAACCATTGTCTTCCACAGATGTGATTTTGAAGGTTGCAGGCATTTTGACTGTGAAAGGAGGCACAGGTGCAATTGTTGAGTACTTTGGACCAGGTGTAGACTCCATATCATGCACAGGTACTGGAACTGTTTGGAAAAAAACTTACATGAAGAACATTTTGACATAACTTTTGATAGTTTTAATGACAATTTTAAGTTGTCAAAGCAGCTATTCTCCAGATTCATAATTGTCCATGTCTCTTACTTGAAATCTCTAGATATGTCAAATAGGCCAACATTGTTCATTGTGATGAATTTCATTAAAACTTACGCATCTGTTTAGTAGATTTCAGCTGGTGGTAGTCCTTACATTGAATAAGTGAAAAGCTCCATTACTAGAGCTAATGGTGTATCTTAGTCTGGTACCTTGGGACATTGAGGGTTGAGGCTTGGCTTTAGACTGACAATCCCATCACCATAGAAAAGGACAAACGCTTGGGCAACCGGACAAGTGATGTTACTATTGAAATCCAGTCTTGATGAGGGAAAGGGAGAGCGTATGTACATGACACTTGGAGTATATTAACAATGCCCAGGGCTAATAGACCATTGTACTAACAAGTGTTATTTTATATGCGCATGTGTAGAAACAGTAAACAGAGGCTAAAGCACAAGTAGTACATTGACAATGAATGTGCCTATGAATATTTTGGCCATATATCTTAAGTTATCTTGGCAATCCTTCAGAATCAACATGAATGTTGATACTGAGTCAAAATGGGTGAAGAGGGGGACAGATCCAAGAGAAAATTATGGGATTGTTTGACTGTCTATTTTATTATGGGAGCACAGAGGGGTCACAAGAAATAAAAATGTGTGTTTGCAGTGAGACACTGATGCACCACAGTGAGATGAGTTGCCACAGCACTATCCAGTATGTACATGTAATTATACCTCGTCACAGTGAGATTACACACCAAACAGTTTCTGCCCTATCCTGCTGCAGAAAAAGACTTCAATGTCTCATTGACCCTATAGCTTCCATTAAAAAAAAATGCAGTCAGATAATGAAACATATCACAAAACCCCAATACTTCATAGAAACATGTAGGTTCTTGTTTTAATCATAATGCTTCTGTTTCAACGCTTAAATCCCACTCTCCCAGTTTTCTTTTACTTTGTGTGTTCAGAATATGGAACCTTTATGAAATACAATTGTTTTTGTTTGTGTTTTGTGTAAGGAATGGGGACAATATGTAATATGGGAGCAGAGATAGGAGCCACAACATCTATCTTTCCCTTCAACAGTCGCATGGTGGATTACCTGAGGGCAACAAATAGGGAAGGTCAGTATGCTATTCTTTCTGAACAGTTACCCATTAAGGACTATAAAACCTTCATAAATATGACAAAATAAAACATGTCAGATGAATTCTGATTTGGATTTATGATTAAAATATATTTCAGTTTTGTCTGAATTTTTTCTCCAATAACCGCCTTACATGTACATCCAAAAACGATATCAGGCCCCTGCAGTGGGCATACAAGATGATTTCTTGTATGTGTGTCTCAGACCATAATGGACCATATTTAAGGTAATACATGTATACAACATTTGCAAACACCAAAAAACAGAACTACCAAATTATGAAATATCTTACTTGGCTATAAGTGAATAATAGTCTTAAGCATCCTGTGATATCATGGCACCTGGTGTGCTGTCATTTTCAAGAAAAGTGGAATTTTTCTATCGACTTTCAACAATGGTCAGCCGACCATTGTTGGACAAAAAAACTGACTTTTTTCAAATGCTGCCCCCAATTTACCAAATTTAGTTAGTCCACATTTGTGATGCGATCAAACTAAATGAGTCGTTTGTGAGGACCTTTCATTTGGAGATTCAGGTCAAAATAGGGCCACTTCATCACATCACTTTATCACATCTCTTGGTGTTCCGACTTCCATAATTTTTGAACTAAATACATGTATGGTATCAGCATGCGGTTTTCACAGTAGTAGTGCTGAGATTGTACTCTTTTCAAATCTGTAAAAAAAAAATTGACCAGGGTCGACACATTTAGCTTGATCACATCACATTTTGTTTGCAATCGGAATACACATCCGTGAACGAGTGCAAGCCAGCTAGTCTGGTTCACTGACCTGACAATACCCGACGTCTATAAATTGCTCCATTTCGTCTAAAGTAGGGTCAAGGAACCAGACTACAAGAACAGCATTTTTTTCTTGGTTTCCAGCATTTATGAACACAAAACTTTAAAAACAGGTCAGTGTAACAATATTTGCTATAAAATACTAACCCCCAAATCCATCCATTTCTGAAAATTACAGCAAAAGCAAATGTTGTATATCACCTATAATTAATAATTGACATTGTGCCAAAATGCATTAAGGTTAAAGGTACCAAGAAAATTAGGGGAGGAATCAAAGAAAACCATTTTTGAAAAAAGGTTGATATTTTGAAGAATGATCCATTAAGACCTTACAATCCTGGGACTTTTTCAGTGGTTGATGCAGTGAACTATGTTGTATTATTCTTGATCAGAGATTGCAACCCTTGCTGGTGGATACAGACATATCTTGACAGCGGACGAAGGGGCTGAATATGATGAAGTTATTGAAGTTAACCTCAGTGAGGTAAGCTACCAAATTAAAACATAGTCAGATATTTTAAAATCAGAGAATACATGTACGTTTACAAAAAGAATTTGTCTTTTGCACTATTGTCCCAAGTGTTGATTAGATTTTTGCTCAACTCTTGAAGTTGAGAAACTGTGTCGTAAATTTTGTGACTAGAGAAAGGCAACTTATATCTTAAACCAAACAATTGGCCATCCCTTTGACTTTTGGGTTTGTTCCACTGCCAAATTTAGGCCCATTTCCTGATTGCAGGTAACAAAATAAAACTTGTGAAACCTTTTCAAGTTGTGCAACTTGGTAAGAAGAAAATGGTCTGATCCAATTTCCATAAATTACTGTTAATGCGTTGTTTTATAATGAATCACTTTAGGCAAATGATGACAACTTATGTAAGGTAGAAATAGTCAATATTGGTGCCCAATTCATGTTATCTCAGCTCTGCAATATTCTTGTGCAAGATCACATTAGTGTGATGATGGGACATCTACCCAGTCTTGTGTCTATTGCTCAGTAGTTGTGTCTGGATCATTGCGTACGTAACTGGTCTTACATGTACCATTGTATCTGTGGACTCATTGTCTCATTGTGTACTGAAAGGGTAAAAAGTACCTCATGTACTAATTTCTTTCTACATCTGGGGCTCTGGTGAAATAGTGGAAGTTTTTTCTCTGACTACATCTATTTTTTTCTCAAGTTAAGAGGAAGCAGCAATAAAAAATAATATGTGTCAAATTTGAAGGTGTATCTTTTATTGTTAACTTAATGTAAAGGGAATGTAAACTTCCACATGTTAGGTTACTGTGTGTGATGATTTGTCAATAGTCTTCTAATCAGCTGGTTTGTTGTCATGTAGCTTGAACCTCATGTGAATGGCCCATTCACACCAGACCTTGCTCATCCAATCTCACACCTGGGAAAGAATGCTGCAGAAAAAGACTGGCCAGTGGAGGTTAAAGTTGGTAAGTGTTGCAAACACAGGTTACAAAAATTGCCGTTATTGTAAATCAAATGATTCCTTATTCTGATAGAGCTAGATAGGTATTGCTATAGCCTGCATCGTCCTTGTTCTGTAGCAGACCCATGTGATGCCTGGATACTTACAAAGTTAATTTCTTTCAATATTAAACTTTGGTTGAAGGGTTGCCCTTGGGAAAGATGACATGTGTGTTGATGAAGGTTAAAGGTAGAGTACATCATTTGTAATTTGTGCATTTGTTTCAAGCAACAAATGTGCTCAAAATCTAAAGATGGGTGCTTAATAACTAACCTGATGAATATTTAGCTCAGTGAATGCTGTATATCCCGAGAAAAACAATATTTTAGGATCTCGATTTCAAATCAAAAGTTGCCGAGTCATGTTTTGAATTGCGCCCAGATTCAGGGTTCAGGACATGTTCTCATTCAGGCAATTGCAGCTACGTGATGTCGCGCACTGAACTGACGAATTATACAGAGATGCCACTTTTTCGGTTTAAACCGGAATTCTGGTTTTAAAAAAATCTAAAAAAATTCTGGTTTTTTGGTCGTCAAAAAAAAACACTGGAAAAAGAGTAGAAAAACTGTGAAAATGGGTTATTTTTACCTCGTTTTTAATAGCGCTCTCGATAGCGTACACACGGCGCAACGTTGTTTGTTGATGTGGCCAACGTACATACAGTACTTGTAAGCAGTATACAACGGCGCTTGCTCGCGCGCTGCATGCACCGCGTGCGGGGGTGTTGTGTGCTAAGCACACGTAGAATTCAGCCTGGAAATCAAGTCTATCATTTCAGTTATCGGGGACATATCAACACAAAAAACGCCGGGAACCAACCATGTTTTCGTCGCACGCATCGCGTAGTGCAAAGGTCATGTACACCGACAGTGTTGTGGAATCGTGCATGTTCCCGATGTTTCGTGTCGAGTATAACGTTGGAAATTCGGGCTTAGCTACAACAAGAGAAAGATGACAACGGGGACTTTGTGTCGGATTGGCTTTTTCACAAAAAATAAAGTTCAGGTTTTTTTCAAGCAGCTATTCTGGCTTTTTCAAGCAGACCCAGTTCCGGTTTTTTTATTCAAGCAGACCCTGTTGCATCTCTGATTATAATCAGCTGCGCTTGCGTGTGTGTCGTGTCAATGCTTGCGTGCGCATCGCCGAATTAAAAACGAAGTACTAACAGAAATTTCCAAAATGCGTCTTTAGACGCATCGTTGGAAATAGTCTTCTTTGATTGTTTTCTCCAAAATGATAGCTTGCCAGAAACAATAATTTCACAGGGAGTTTAGTCCCATCACCATCTTTAAACCAAATATGATTTTCAACAATAATTTTGTCAGTTACTTTTTGGATAGCTGCAAATGATAGACTGTAGCTTTAAAGGAGATCACTTTGGTAAGGGAAAAAAATCGACTGCTGTGAATGCTACACAGTTTGGTATAGCAACTAGGATCAACAAGTCAAAGGTTGGAAAAAGATCAGTCATTAAGGGCTTTGTGTGTGAAGAATAGCCTGTGCTTGAAAGCAGTTTGCCTTAGAGTGATGAAGGCTTTCATTTTGGATTTTGGAATTGTAACCTGTTTAGTCTGTGTGATAATATTTTGTTTCTCTTTCTTGGTTTTGAGGTCTGATTGGGAGTTGCACAAACAGCAGTTATGAAGACATGAGTCGGTCAGCTAGTATTGCCAAACAAGCATTAAGCAAGGGCCTCAGATTTCAGTGAGTATCTCTTAAAATTACTAGCAATTAAAGAAAACCAAAAACCCAGCTGTCCTCGGTCAAAGATACTTGCCTGACATTGCTACCATCCACCCTCTCCAGAATGTTCATTATCATTGATTATGTGTGTGTAAAGTAATGTGTCAGTTCGGTATTCCAACTGTTCTTGTCCAAATCGAGATTTTAACAATATTCAGTTCAGGATAAACATGTCAAATGAATGCACAAATATACAAGTTTATGGGGGCAAGGGAAACCGAAACTGTAAAAAATACTGCAGTTTTTCTTGTAATCTAAACCTTTTGAAGAACACGACATGCATGTACTGTAAAAGGTTGTGCTGTTCAACATTTTCAGAGTTTTGTATTTAATTTAGAACAAACATTTTCCTTCAGTTTAGTTTTGTGTAATATATTGTAATATATGATTTTGATCATAAATGGTGGACTGTTAATAATGAAAGGAAAATCCTCACATTTTGAAGTGGAAACACACACTGTTGGTGTACTGTACTGGCCTATAATAACAATATAGCCCAGATATGTGACACAGGATCAACCAGGCAGTTGTACTTGGCATTGTTTTCAGATAGGACTTGTGATACAAATACTTATGTATCACTATGTTATTGTTGTTCTAGGTCTACATTTACAGTGACTCCTGGTTCCGAGCAGATTCGTGCAACCATAGAAAGAGATGGCCAGGCCTCTGTGTTCAGAGATAGTGGAGCATTGGTGCTGGCTAATGCATGTGGTCCGTGTATTGGCCAATGGGACAGGTTGGTGCCCTTAAACATGTGGAAGAGTTGTCAAGAATGATTGTCTCCCTAAAAAATCTTGTTTCTTCATTGTATGATTTTTTTTCGGATTTGATGTGATGATATCAGTTGGTTGTTATAGTTTTGGAAATGGTTGAATATTACGTTGCGTTAGTGCAACGTAACTCCATTCTGCAACAAAGTCATATCTTGTGCGAATACGCTCCGTGCAACAAGGTCGTATCTCGACGTCCATTGACTTTGTGTCCATTGACAATCTTACTCAGTTGCCATTCAGCATTCATTTATAACATAAACCTAATTTACAGCATTAACATCTGAAAAAAATTTACGAAATTTGAAGCATACTGTTTTTCGTAATTCAATTTCAAAGGTCATTTCATTACGCATTTCCTGTGCGCTTCATGGTATGATTTTGGTTTTATTTTATGAAATGGAGGCCATTCAAAGAGCTTTAATATGATGTACAACTTGGCTTTGTAGGTGCTATAGTTTTGGAGATACAAGTATTTAAAGTTTGGAGGTAATGCTTATTAGTCAAAAGTTCATTGACGTGTATCTTAAAATGTAAGGAGCCAAACAACAAACAATTGCAGTTCTGGGGGTTTCTCATATAGGTCAATCATCACACCAAATATCGTTTCAATCTGTGAGGGTCGGGTCCAAAATTGTGTTGAATTGACACGGAATGACCCATAAATCTGAGCACTGAGCATGCAGTGCTTATAACTTTCAGTCGTTAGTGGGCAAAACCAACTATTAAGATTTTACATCATACCAACACCAGAAATCTGTCAGAGGTCATTGATTGTGTTACCTACTGTTGTATTGGATATGATCCTACTAGCAGATAGACAGAGAGCTGGATAGGGCTTAATCAAAATTTCGGGAACAAATCCCCTGATTGTCTTGAAGCAAAGTACCATCGACCCTGATCACAGAATGGCCATTCTTAAGTTTTCTAGATCAGACTAAGGCTCCCCACAATGCCAAATGGGGCCAATTTTGCATTTAATCAAAATTTTGAGAACAAGAACAAAACCAGTATCATTTGATAGCTTGGAACTTGTAGTTATGACCATGACAACAAAAACAGGTTGAATTGAAACTTCACAGATGTACTAGATATATTCAGGTGTCCATTAAATGAATTTCCGAAGTGGGAAGAGCATATCAGACTTCTGTTGCCCTGGGACAGGTCAGTTAACTTTGTATACCTTAGTTCTCACTTATTGTCATTTTTATTCTTCAAAACGCACATTTTTTGTGAACCAAGCCACAACTATTAAGTGAAAAAGAACGACATTGCAACTATTATTCTACACTCATGTTATAAATTCAGATCCAAAAGACAGTAGGGTGACCTCTGACCTCTTTGTAGTGGCAGCCGCAACAATGATTAATTGGATGGAAGTTCAAAGCTTGGTGTGAGATAGTGCTAGCGGCAAAGACATAAGCATATGGTCTTGCATGATGGGGGCATGCCGCCCGGAAAAATTTTGACAAATGAGACAAATTTCTTGTTATTTTTGTGCAAGGAGGTGCAGTGTTTTTATTCAAAGCAACAGATAGTGACTGATTCATGATCTTTGCACGGAATCGAAGTAGCCAAAGCGCTTTACCCAACCATGAAACATTATTTCTAGTTTGCGATAACCAGCCACATTTTGTATCAGATGCTCTGAAGAACAAAATTGTCTTTGGGTCTGAATTCATGACATCATGTAGAAAATACATTTCTGTTTCATTATTTAGACTTGGGACATCGACTTGAAAAGTTGGCATTTTGAAGTAATAGTGGAAAAATGGGTATACAAAGCTCTTGACCTGTAAAACTTCACCATGGGTCAGATATGAACTTTCTCTACCTTTGAAAATTCATATCATGGCAAGAATTCAAATCGAAAGTTTAGATATGGGTCGTGGAAAAGTAGGGTTTGAATAATACATCTTTAAATATCAATAAACAGGGTATACAAAGTTAATTGACCTCTCGAAAGTCAACAGGGGACAACTATGAAATTTTCTCACATCCGATCATTATATTCATTGTATAAAGAACCAACGTACAAAGTTTTATGCTTTAGTCTCAAAGTGCACAATTGTTTACGATATTTGACTTAAACAGCTCTGTCTATACCCACTGCCCCTTAAGATTCAATTCAATCTTTAGCTTCAAACTGGAAAACTGATGTGTACAACGTACTATATATTTGTTTTTTAATTGGCCAGCTCCTGCTACCTGTGCTTTCGCATAATTACCCATTATTTTAAGCAAACGTTGATGTCTGTAATGAAAGGACTCCCGAACATCTGTCGTATCTATAGAGTTTCAATTCAACCTGTTAAAATGTTTTGTTGTTATGGTCATTTAAAGTCGGCACTCTCATGCGCCCTCTGACGTTACATGCTCCATGTAATGTAAAAGTTAACATTTAAGCCTATACCTGTTTTGGTAATTGGAAATTTTGTGACGAAGGTAATCCCCTATTTTCATAAACTTGGTGTCCAAATAACTGCATGACATCAGAACAACTGTTAGAGAAACTTGGCAGAATGCATTGCAACGATAGGAGCCCAAATTTACATGGAGGGAGGTTGCGGCCCGCCCCCCTCCGTGCTCTTCGTGCTGCTCTTAAGTTAATTAGTCTGACCAAAAATCACTTTTAAGTTATATTTTCATGTTCCACAAGTGCCAAGGCATCAATAGAAGTGGTTTTATTTTCCCATTTTAAATTTGTAGAACATTTGGACAGTTTCAATTCGATCTGTTAGTCGCACTGTCATGCACGCTTTCATGTGCATGTACTTTTCAATGGGAAAAGTAAAATTTAGGCCAACCTGTGTTGGAAAATGGACATTTCATTACAAAGTTATGCCCTTTTTCATGAACTTGGTGTCAAAATAACCGCAAGACATACAAATGTACGAACAACTGTCAAAGAAACTTGGCAGGAACAAGGAGGGGGGTGCGGCCCTGCCCCTCCGGACACTTGTCCTCCGTAGGGGGGGGGGGGGGGACCATATTTCAATAGGTGGCGCTGTTCAAATTCCAGGATTATACACATTATATTACAGAATAGTGTACAAATACCGGTACCTTCTATCTAAGCTGCTTCTGTCCGTATTTTGAACAGGTGGACATTATACCAGTATATTCTTTGGGGGTGTCAGAGCAAGGGGGGAGGGGTGTTTCGCATAATTTTTAAGGAATTTTTACGACTTTTTTTGGGACAGAGCTAGGTTTTTTTTTTACCCTACCCCACCCCCCCCCCCCCCCCCCCCCCCCCCCCGGATCCGCGCCTGCAAATGGTACTGGTTTCGTTCTTGTTCTCAAAATTTTGATTAAATGCAAAATTTGCCCCATTTGGCATGGCGCCAATGAGCCTTAGTCTGATCTAGAAAAAATTAAGAATGGCCTTCCTGTGATCAGGGTTGATGATACTTTGCTTCAAGACAATCAGGCGATTTGTTTGCGAAATTTTGATTAAACCATATCCAGCTCTCAGTTTCAGACTACAGCAAGTAGGTCAGTGGTTGAGTCCCATGCTGGTAAATATGTCAAGTCTTGCTGCAGAAACCAACTTAAATATTAAAATACAATATGTAAGTTTTTTAAGAAATTGCAAGAGCAAGTATTGCACTCAAGTGCTTGTATGATTCATGTGGCCATTCATGTTGAATCAGTAATCCAGAAGCATATGGAGCCAAAAGAGGGAGATTCAATAATCCAGCCACTCATTTTCAAATTTTTTTTTTAAAGGCAAGATGTAAAGAAAGGTGAGAAAAACACCATTGTCAGCTCATATAACAGGAATTTTACTGGTCGCAATGATGCCAACCCAGCTACTCATGCATTCGTAGCCTCACCTGAGGTAGGTCTTATCAGCAGAAAGTATAAAATAGCCCTAGTAATTTTGAAGTACAATCATAATTCTTGTGTAAAAAAATGGAAAATACATGTACATGTACGCAGTCTAAAAGTACAAATTCTAACTTAATTCAGAGCTTTATTAAAGTTTGCTTGACATTCACAAACTTGCACACTTGTAAAGAAAGAAAATGTCGGTCTAGCTTCCACTAAATGCAAAGTTGGAGGCTTTCAGTGGAAAGCAGGGGAGAAACAACAATTGTAAAATCAGTATTCTAATAATAAAACTGAAATCAAGTTCATCATAAACGATCAGTTTTAAATGAATATGAATCGTGTAATAAATAATGGTTTGGCTGATCAACTCAAACAAAAGGTATCATCATTGAGCCCAACTTACAAAATTGATTGAAGAAACCAAGTTACTGGTAACAAAATAGCCTCAGACAAACAGAACAGGTCTGGTTTTGCATTGAAACATCATTTTGTTAAGAGTATCACATTTTGTCTAAACTGTACATACATTTATATATTTGTTTGTGCAGATGACAACAGCATTAGCCCTGGCTGGTCGCCTTGACTTCAACCCTATGACTGATGAACTAATAGGAGCCAATGGTGAGAAGTTTAAGCTAGATAGCCCATATGGAGATGAGCTACCCAGCAAGGTATGGTCATATACTCCTTTATATTTAGACAATATTTTGTCAATTGATTCAGAGGTCCAATTACAATATTCCTTTGAAATTTTAAATTAAATGTCAACATACTAATTTGATTTAGTAGAGGTTCGTGTTTGTTGAGTTACAAACACAGAGTGGTCGGGCGGACAGCCTTTTTATTAGACACTGCCCAGCTAAGTTAGGAAGATATGTTTATGTAGAATAAAGGATCACAAAATTAAATCCCTTCCAGTACAATCAATTAGTTTGTTACAAACATGTATCTTTAACAGTGTGATAAACATTCTATGTGTGCAAAAAAGTTATTTCTGGTTTGATGACGTCATCAGTCAAAAACAGTAAGCGAATACCAATAAAGTTCGGAGAGGATAAATTTTCATTGTGAAGTTAAAATATCATATGAAAATATGTGATATATAATTGTTTGTATTAATAACACTAAACTTCCGGGTTTGATGACGTATTAATAACACCTTACATGTACTTCCGGTTTGATGACGTCACAGCATTAGAGATCCAAAGGTGAACACTGTAATGGATATCATTATTTGGACTACGAAGATATAACGAATCAAATGATAGAATTAAATTAAAAATATGATCCTTTTCAAATTATCCTTAAAGTAACTTCCGGTCTGATTACGTCATGAATTTGAAACCATGCCAAGTTATCTGTGGTTAATCAGAGAATATGAGGGGCAATTTGGTAAAATTTGGACGAATGGTTTTAAAATTAAAGAAAACAAACTCTATTTTGTGTGCCGCTGGGGGGGGGGGGGGGCCTTTCGGATGATGACGTCATCACACTGTTTTTGTGTGTGTGTCAGGTATTCCTCACTTAACACTTTCATAATTTATATGTGTGTAGTAAAATGCTTCCGCTTTTGAGTTATATTCGGTTTTTATTGCACTTCCGGTTAAACATCGGAAGTGAAGGTCAAGCGGTTTTGCATCTGGGGACAAGAAATGTTTCGCACGGCATAGTCTACAACCTCACGAAAAACCGAACACGATACTCTATTTAGTTCAAAAGATATAGCGCAAACTATTTTGTCAAAATTTGCCCTAAAATCGCTTGTAATTTGATACCTGATGACGTCATGATGACGTTACAAAGATTATAACATCTTCGTAACATGGTACAAGTTCACACTAAGTTTTATGATCATTGCTTAAACTGTTTGGAAGAAATTTTGCTTTGTTTTTATTTCAGGCTTACGTCTTCATTTTGAATTCACGTAACTTTTACCTTCCAGTAGACCCGGAAATAAAGGTCAAGCGGGTTCATGTACACAACAAAAAATGTTTATCAACTAATGGTCTATCTGATTACAAAGTTGGAATATAATTGATCATTTTGTTTAAGAGTTATAGGTGAAAGTAATTGGCCACTTTTTCCTCTAAAATCGCTTGTAATTTGTAATATGCACCACTTGGGATGAGGGTCGATATATATTGAAAGTTACACAAGTTCATATCATAAACCGTCTAGGAGAAAACCCGCGGAGAAGTATTGTCTGAAAAAAAAGAAAAAAAAGAAAGAAGATTAATCGTAACAACTCCAAAGAGTGTAATAATTATGGGGAATGGTACATTAGGGGTACATTAGGGAGACATAGGGTTGTGCACAAAATTTGTCCAACTCTCATGACCCCTAACCCCCTTTTTACCTTGTCTTACCGCACAAATGTTGATACATTTATGTTGTGGACCACGAGCAATCGATCTAGCCTATTTGCGACTGGAAAATTTTGCCTCTTAATAGGAGTTGTGACGTTAGGGAGACAGTGAAATGTCTCCTTAATCTACCTGGTCTCCCTAAGATACCGGTATAACTTATGATGAAAACATGTCTCTTTAACCCTAACCCCCTAGGCCCTTGTTGCTTACAACCATCCTCAATCCTCCAAAATCCTCCAAAATTTTGCAACTCTGCCTAAATTTTTCAAAATTGTCAGACAGTCCTGCCTCAAAATGCTTTCATCCTCAATCCTCCAAAATCCTCCTCATCCCAAAATTTTGCACTCGTATTTAAATAAAGGATGACCAACGCCAAATCCTTCAAAATCATCAGACAGTCCTGCCTCAAAATGCATTCATCCTCAATCCTCCAAAATCCTCATGTGCTTCAATCACCATTCATCCTCAATCCTCCAGAATCCTCATTTGATTCAATCACCATTCATCCTCAATCCTCTAGAATCCTCCAAAACCGCCAGGAGGATTTTGGAGTAGTGAGGTGGGTTAGGGTTAAGGGTACATTTATACGTATATCTGAGTAAATGATAATGAAAAGTCTCAGTTTCCCCCAAAAATGTAGAAGATTAGCACTGGTAAATGACTTCAGAATTGTAGAAGCATTCTTTATGTAATCTAATTATATAACTATGGAGATATGAACGTTAGGAGGCAGAACTCCAGTACTTCAAAGTGTTATAGGATCATCGCCGCGCTCGAACTGGCAACAATAGAAAGCACCTGGCGGCCAGCTTACTCAGTTGCTCACTACGCTAATCTATATTTAATAGAGATCCATGCTCACTAAAGCTAGAAGAAAGAGTTTGCATTGCTTTGAGGACAGCACCATGGTAATACGCATGCGCAGTTGTCATACATGGCCAAATATGAATGATTTTGAGAGTGTTTGTTCAGAGTTGGCTAATACTGGCTAACAATGTGGTCAACATCACTGAAATAATCATTTCATGCTCTATACCTTCAGCATGAAAACTTATGAAATTTCCCAAAATATTACATTTCATAAATGATGTATTGCCAATTATTAAAGATTTCCGAAAAGACATGATAACTTATCGGAAAAAAAGATCACTTTATCTTCAAATTACAGGAATAGTAGCATTTTCAAGGACCAACAACTACACATCGATAACTTGAATTCATAACTCACATCTAACAACTGCGCATTTGTTAAAACCTGTCTTGCCTTAAAATATATTATACATGAGGTTGTTGGTTACCAACCAAAAAGGCGGCGACGACGATCATCATGTTCAAAGGCCGCTTGCATTCACGCTTCAAAATTCACATCAAAATAACTCCATTGAGTTGGTACTAACAATTTGAAGTTCAGCCCTGGCTCATGGACTGCTATGTATATGGCTGTTGATGTTTATTTGTGTGTGTTTTTTAGGGTTTTGATCCTGGTGAGGATACCTATCAACCTCCTGCTGATAGCAAGGTGCAAGTAGACATTGATCCGAACAGTAAACGTCTTCAAGTCCTGGATCCATTTGAGACATGGGATGGTAAAGACTTGGAGAATATGGCTGTTCTCATTAAGGTACAAATTCAGATATGATGTTATGGTAAAGTTCAGATGGAGGGTAGAAGATTTTTTGAAGAATATTGCAACTGCCTCTTGGCAATTGTTCCCTACATCCCATCATGCTGATGTGGGAGAACTTAAAGGGACTCTAATATAAGGTGCCAACACCTAAGTTGCACAATTTATCTGTCTATAAATTTTTCAAATTGATGTGCTTCCGTGTGGGAAAACAATGCAGTTCACAGTGTCAGGCGTAACAGGCTCCATGCAGGAACAACAAATGACGCTGTGTGACCACCACCATGAACTGTATGCCATTGCATGGGCATCAGACACACAGCAGCCATGGTATTCACATAGCTGCCAACCGTTACGAATTTTTCGTAATTATTACGAATTGTTTGTTAAATTACGAAAATATGATTTGCCACTAAAACATTACAAATTTCCCATTTTCTACCTAACATAAAAAAAAAAAACTTGTAAAGTATCGTTTTTGACCGAAAACTTCTGGCGAAATGTCGCGATAATGGATGGACTGGTGACAAGTCTAATAAGAATGCAGTCAAGCACCTGATAGACATCAATGCAGTGTGCGCAGTGGAGTACTTGAGGACCAGACTAAAACTATTTTTAAATGGTGTGTCATTTGTGTGCATCTCGTGGATGTGTGGTTGTGTGTACTGTATGTGAGTATTTTTCAGTGACGATCGTGAGCACAAATTTGGTCGCTTATTGCCGGGATGAGACCCATCAGTGCGAGATTTTAATCATGGAATTTAATAAGAGTATGGTTGGAATAATTGGTAATAGAGTTTCAGTTTGTCACAATGTCCAGAAAAGATAAATCAGCACGCGTTTGCAAGGTATGTTGGCGGGATATTTCTATTGCATACGTTGGCCCTATTAAAATCATTGTGTGTAAAAACATTGATACGAACTCGAAATTCCACATCGATAGCATGCATCTTAAACAAAATATGCGCACATGTTATTATTGTTATTATTTATTTGACTTCAACAAACAAATACAGACATTAAAACAAAATTAATTAAAAAAAATATATATCAATTTTTTTTTTTTTTTTTAATATTATCTTTTGGCCTACAGTACATTATTATTCACAACAAGAATGGTATGCACATGTATGTGTACATGTAAACCATGTACCTGTACTCGATGTTGGTAAAGCTTTTGATAAAACAAGCAGTTGAAAATGACCGCGCGTGTTGATTACTAATTGGGATTTTGAAAAGTTGGCAGCTATGTATTCAAGTGCCTGTCATGTCTCTCTCGTGCCTTTCTTTGTCAGCATTGAGGGGATACATGTGCACTACACAGATTACCTCTACACATATCCCTTCTTACTGTTGACTTAAGTTGAAAATACAAAGCTGAGTCGGAACGTTCCCGTTCCATTTGGAACGTTCCTTTTGGAAACACAGCCTGTTCCCACTGGGAACAACCGCTGTTCCGCGTGGTAACACTCTCTGTTCCCAATGGGAACAGTTGGTGTTCCCAGCAAGCGTTCCCAAACGCTTAAAGAACACTGCGTTCTCATCGAAATGTTCCCACTGGGAACACTCGCATTTGGGCATTAGGAAACCATTCATTACCCGATTGATACGATGCAGTGCATGCTGCACGCGTGACACGCGACACTGAATGTGGCGGAAGACGGACAAAATAATGCAGATTAAAAAGGTACGTGTCGTCGTAATATGTGCATAGGTATTGATAGATTTACGTTTCAGCTTAATTTAATTGCAGCGTGTAAAGCGAAAATATCGCCGCGGCCACGGGTGATCATTGGGTGATCATCGGTGGTGGCGCACGTACGGGTTGGGTCCATGGGTAGCCTGCTTGGGTCGGTCAACGCGTCCGGCGTCCGTGCACATCGTTTTTGCCGGGCCTGTACGCCCACTTTATTGCCCGGTCGATGTGGCCGTACCGTTCGGGTCCAAGTTGCTCGGACTAGGGTCCTAAACTCCAATAATACTAATACTTCAGTTTCAACAAACTATAACAATCTCCAACCGACTTACCAATACTAATCCCGGGCATGGCAATCCCGTGAAAGCGCCATTCAAGTACTCACGCTCACATTTGTTGTGAAACTGGTGCTGCGCCAGTCGTATACGACAGGGACACAGCTGGGTCACGTCAACATACAACAAAAATACACAGTGAGGTACGTGGGCATTTTGGTGCATCACGTCATGTACATGCATAGAAAAGGCAGAGTACATTCCCGAATGGGTTCGATTATGAGTGTTCCCATTGGGAACGTTGGGAACGCACAAATAAGCCCGTGTTCCTAAAAATCATCAAACGTTCCCACCGGAACGTTCCTTTTGCAGTGGCGTAGCACGGTCATTTTTATTGAGGGGTAATTTTTTTTTGAAAAGGGCACTTGCACATCAGTGCTGAAATGTAGACACGTTTTTTCCCCCGGACACTTGGCCTACGTAAAATCAAATAGTGTGTGGGGGGGGGGGGGGGGGGGGGGGCTGGTACTATCTGTCGATGGGGGTGCTGTTCAAAACAGACAATTATGCACACTAACGGACAATATATGGTGCTTTTAACGGCGATACATGAGCGAAATTAACAACGGCCAATGGCACCAAAAAGGCCACAACTTACTTTTAAAAAGGGCACTTGTTCGGAAAAAAAGGGCACTTGTTAAAAAAAAGGGCACTCTTTAAACAATATTGGTGGAAAAAGGGCATTTGAATAGAAAAGGGCAGTCTTTGCAAAATATTGGGGGGGGGGGGGTAAATACCCCCCCTTACCCCCTGCTGGCTACGCTCGGTGTTCCCAAAAAGAACACTCGGTTTTCCCAATGGAACCTTATGAGACGCTCCCTAAACATAGTCTTCTTGCTGAGTCAGGATCCACAAACTTATTGCTAGTATGAACATTTGTTAAATGTTAACAAGGAATGACGGAAAAAAAATGTTTTTCCAAAAGGTGAAAGGCAAGTGCACAACTGATCACATCAGTGCTGCAGGACCTTGGCTCAAGTATAGAGGTCATCTAGATAATATCTCCAATAACCTTCTCATTGGGTAAGTCTTGGCAGATAGTTTTTTCAGCTGTGATTTCTAGTCTTATTAATACTTCATTAAAATCAATGTAAAATTTGTGTGTGTTTATTTACTATATTCATGTAATTGAAAATAGTGTGTAAAAAACTGAACGAGCAACTCCAAGGATGGCTGAGTTATTTCAGATCTGGATTTTTTTAGCTTACGTACAGTAAGTACACTTAGCACAATTATCAATTCTTTCCCCCGTAAAAAGTACTGGTTTCTTTGAGCATTTTGATTGTGTGAATAGAGCATTATGTGTAAAAATGTATTCATGTAACCTATGCCATTATTGAGTAGAAGAGCAGTGCAGTGGTGCATGCTCACAGTGTGAGCATTTTTCAAGATTTTCCCACAAAAATGTGATTTATGGTAAATTATAATTTCCAAAAAATATCCATCAAAAATTTATGAAAACAGCAAGTAAAAATTATCATGAGCATAGTTTTAATCTTTTAATCTCTTTCACCAGTCTTTAACCCTAACAGAACCCAACCCATCAAACCCAACAGCAAGTTTTGTTGGAATCTGTCGGGATTGGTACAGTACCCTTAAACTGACAGTCTTTTACATTGGGTTGGCACACCTCCAGAATCAAAGTCAGAAAGATGTGTGTGCAGTTTCCCATATGGTGTTGGAATTGAGTCACACGGTAATACAGTGTGTGAAGCATGCGTGTAGTACAGTACAGCTGCACACGATGATATGCAACGGTACCAATGTACAAACCGCCCGCTAGCACATGGCCGGTCGGGTAAGGGTAGCCTCATCTGCTCATGAACGATCCAGTGGATAAAATCCAACATGTGCGATTTCCGGAGGTTTCAGATTTAGTTGTATAAAATGCAATGCCTTAAAAATCCCGATGAGTATCTTGAGGATGGTGAAGAGAGCATTAGTGATACATTTCACCGGCAGTTGTTGGAAAAAAAGACGATAATGCCAGGGTTCGACCTTAACTTTTTTTTTCATCAGCCAGCCAGGCTACTGAAACAGACCCTTAACAAGCCCAGGGGCATTTTCACTAGCCCGCATGTTGTTGGTTTTTTTAGTTCAAATACAAAATGGCGTACTTTCAGGCTCAATTCTGAGGCAATTTTGTCAGTGTTTTTAATTAACAGATCTAATAATTTAACCCTTTAAAACAGTTGATAAATTAGACACAAATTGATACAGGCTTGCTTTAATAATAATAATAATAATAGTAGTAATAATAATAATAATAATAATAATGATAATACCGGGCATTTAAATACGCTCTACTTTGTAAAACAAAATCACAGCGCTTACAATGTACAGTTGGCTCCCATTATAGCGAAAACGGTTAGGACAAAATTCCGGTTATGACAAACACATATCTTCGGTCCCGGCAACATTGTGCACATGTCTATGGGAAAAAAATCGCTTAAGACGAAAACGGACAGTTGGAAATTCCTGTTAAGACGAAAGGTTTTGGCGACCCCGTTGACTAAAAAAGCATTGTTTGCAACCCATTTATTACGAAAAAAAAAATAAAACCACAAAAGCTTAACTTCATGGCTTTTTTTTCTTTCAGACCTAATCTGAAAGCAGCATAATTAGGGTCATGAAAGGGTTTAGTCAGTTATTTAATCTTGCTGACATCGTGGTATGTTCACTAATCGCCTTCTGCGGTTACCAACAAAGGCCTGTAAAAACATGCTGATGATACCATGATACAATGACGATACGTTCATGTTCGTAACCTGATTGAACCGAATCCAAACTTAGAAACATTAACTCCCAAACTAGCTTACCCTAACTATCATTTTAGCCCATACCACAGAAATAATTCTAGCAAGATCTTGTGAATTCATTATCCAAGCATTGCCTTCGGAACATGCGTCGAAAGGAAGATATCGGCCCTTCCCGTTCCGTAAATTTTGACAAGGTAATCGCTGGGAAAAAAGCGATCGTCTCGTCACTGCATTATGCAGACCGTAGGCACAGAATTGTAGGTAAAATAAATATGGTGCAAGCCAATAAGCTCACGTTGCTTCTGTGACAAAAATTTCGTCAGACATTAAGATCCGATCACGATGTACCATCATGACATCATTGCTCAGGAAACTGTCTCATGAGGGCGCTTTCTCATCAGCTGGTACAAGCAAGCAAACAAGTTTGCATTTTGGATCAAAACGTGGAAATTACATGTAGAAATGAACCAAGGTCTGAAGGTCTCTCGGACTTAATTTTTGCTACTGACAGTAAACAATGAAAGACAAAAGGAACACTGTGTAGAAAATAAATCAGTAATGTCTTTATTTCTACCAATTTGTGCAGAAGAGTTGACTTACGTTGAACAATTATGCTCTGTCTGGTCGTCACACTTCCGACGGCGGTCGATACGTTGACTCCCATCTTCAACCCTTGCGGTTTTCATAACTTTATTTAGTTTGTTTAGTTTTTTATTACACATTCATAAAATACCTCAGACAGTTTAGCTATTCCTATTGGTCGAGAGCCCGTCACGTGGCCGGTTTTAAACGGATGATAAAGACATGGCTAGCTGGTTTTAAACACTTTTCCAGTGTCACAATAAAATGTGGACTCCTAAAAATCCAGTGCCTCTTACCGTTTCATTGGTTGAACGTTCACAATCCTCCCGTAGGCATGCGCAACACTACCAGCGAGTCAGAATTTTATAGTTCTAAATTCAAAACGCAACGCCCCAGGTGCGTTCTGCGCGACATCGCGCAGAACATGCTACGCCCACGTCAATCTCCATAAAAGGGTTGTTTACATCTTACTCGCCAGCTGAACACTCCATTATTTTGCTAGAGGGATGTTTCAAAAAGCATGAAGTGAAGTTGTTGAACAAAATCGGGATTTTTTGAACGAATTATTTGATATTTTTGACCGAAAAGGTATTGATGAATGGGAATAAATATGTGCTCGATCGGTATTTATCACTCTGTTTAAGACCGCTTAGAGTCTGGGTGCTGATAATTACCCTCGCCTCAGGCTCGGGTAATTATCAGCACCCAGACTCTAAGTGGTCTTAAACAGAGAGATAAAAACCTCTCGAGCACACATTTATTCCCTTAATAACAATATATATTTACACCAGTGTTGTAGGTCTCGAGACCGGTCTCGGTATCGAGACCGGTCTCGAGACCACTTTTTGCTGGTCTCGGTCTCGGTCTCGGTCTCGGTCTTGGAAGCTGTGGTCTCAGTCTTGGTCTCGGTCTCGGTCCCCTTTGGTCTCGATATTTTGGCTGGTCTCGGGTCGAGACCGGCAATATGTAGCTTTTACAGCTCGATCGATTACTTTGTGTTCACTTCGTTCAGTACCGTTGTTAGTTAAAACATTTGCTAGCCTGTAGATCAAGCTTGTTATATATCGTGGTCGGTTTGCCGGACTTGACTGCACGTTGGAAAGTCCCCAAAGTACATGTAAAGCTGCAGCAGTTCCAGTCACTGAACGATTTGAAGCGACATCGCGCAGAACATGCTACGCCCACGTCAATCTCCATAAAAGGGTTGTTTACATCTTACTCGCCAGCTGAACACTCCATTATTTTGCTAGAGGGATGTTTCAAAAAGCATGAAGTGAAGTTGTTGAACAAAATCGGGATTTTTTGAACGAATTATTTGATATTTTTGACCGAAAAGGTATTTATGAATGGAATAAATATGTGCTCGATCGGTATTTATCACTCTGTTTAAGACCGCTTAGAGTCTGGGTGCTGATAATTACCCTCGCCTCAGGCTCGGGTAATTATCAGCACCCAGACTCTAAGTGGTCTTAAACAGAGAGATAAAAACCTCTCGAGCACACATTTATTCCCTTAATAACAATATATATTTACACCAGTGTTGTAGGTCTCAGGCTCGGGTAATTATCAGCACCCAGACTCTAAGTGGTCTTAAACAGAGAGATAAAAACCTCTCGAGCACACATTTATTCCCTTAATAACAATATATATTACACCAGTGTTGTAGGTCTCGAGACCGGTCTCGGTATCAAGACCGGTCTCGAGACCACTTTTTGCTGGTCTCGGTCTCGGTCTCGGTCTTGGAAGCTGTGGTCTCAGTCTTGGTCTCAGTCTCGGTCCCCTTTGGTCTCGATATTTTGGCTGGTCTCGGGTCGAGACCGGCAATATGTAGCTTTTACAGCTCGATCGATTACTTTGTGTTCACTTCGTTCAGTACCGTTGTTAGTTAAAACATTTGCTAGCCTGTAGATCAAGCTTGTTATATATCGTGGTCGGTTTGCCGGACTTGACTGCACGTTGGAAAGTCCCCAAAGTACATGTAAAGCTGCAGCAGTTCCAGTCACTGAACGATTTGGAACAAGTTCGGCATTTATCTGTTGAGTCGGGCACATAAAGCAAAGTATGAACTTGTAACAATTTATGCAATAAGGGTCAACCATTTTCGGGGATTGTGTAGTTTAGCCCACCCCTGTGGGCGTAATCACTTGCATTTTGTATTCTGATAATAAATGAGGTGCTTCAAATTAGTTATATTTTCGACCCCACACAATGCTCTCTTTAATTTGGGACAGTATTTTGAAGAAAAAGTAAATTTTTCTACCTGATTTTCCAGCATTGAACTCACCCACTCTTACCAGTTACCACTCACTGTTGCCATGAGAGTGTATGATGAGACCCCATATTCTGGCTGCTCATTTTGAAGTACATTCCTCAAAAATTAAAATCCCGTTCAGAAAAAAAATTTAAAATCCATATCTGGCACATTCTGGCTACCACCTCGCAACTTGTGGGTCTACATGTACAAGTCCACATTCTATGACAGAAATTTAAAAATAATTCTAAATTTTCTAGCTCCCATTTTTTAAAATCAAGTACACAAGTCTTGTTAGAAGTTAAGTCCTATATTTATTTTAGGAAAAAAGAGGCACAATGTTAAATTAAAATTGCATCTTTAAATATCCGTTAGAAGTCATAGCTGAAACCAAGGGGTGACTGTGGAGTTTAGGATCCGAGTTCCTATAACAGATGAAACATCTACCTTTAACTTTTTACTTTTGTCACGATTGGGTGCAGACAACATGTCAAAGCCCATATTTCTTAAGTGTAACTACTTTTTACTCAAGTAAGGTGTCATGTATCAATTTGTCAACACTGCCACTGGTCATAATTTTGGTCTGTATTCTTTGTGAATAGAAGGGTTACATTTTTCAACTATAATAACGTGTCTTGTTTTTTTTATTTCGACTATTGTTATTTATTATCAGCGGTCTCGGTCTCGGTCTCGGACCATATTGGTCTCGGTCACGGTCCGCCTTGAAGGGGCTGGTCTCGGTCTCGGTCTCGAATCTTCAGGTCTCGGTCTTGGTCTCGGTCTCGGACTATCCGGTCTTGACTACAACACTGATTTACACAATAACAATATATATGTACCATACATTTTAAATATTTTAACAAACCCTTTTAAAAGATTTGTTTTGTTTGATAGCTCTACACACCTGACACGATGTTGTATTTCGCTTTGATTACGCACGTGAACATCATGCACGTTCATGTGGCTTACACAAGTGAACAATGGGTTGGTAACCATTGGATCGGATAATACAAAATTCGGATAATACGAACATTTGGACTGGGTCCCGCGGATTTTGTAATAACGGGAGTCGACTGTAAATGAAAAAAGAATAAAATTAATGATATAATAATTAATGATGGAACAGGTAAGTTTCTTCCTGTCCTTTCATCTTTGCCTTGTCCCAATAATTTTTTGACTCGCCAGCCGGGCTACTTAAGGAATAGTTTGACTAGCCCGCCGTTGTTTTGACTAGCATTTGGCTAGTGGGCTACCGCTAATTTTGAACCCTGTAATGCCCATTTTTTTTCCCACGTATGATACAATTGCAGTAGTGGAGTAGTGGAGTTGTGTGGTTGATTCATGGACATGATTTGAGTGGTGTCATGAATGGTGCCCTTGTCTCTTTGACTTTTTTCTCGACTTTCTCAAGTAAGAAGTGCACTTCTTTATTGATGAGTCTGTTACGCTAACCATACTTCAGGGTTTTTGATTTTATGGAAACACTGACCATTTTCTTCATCGTAAATTTCCTTTGGATCGAAATTACAACAGGAAGGGACGTCCGGAAATTGGGCAAGAAGTTTGTATAGCTGTAACTGCAGCGTAGCCCAGATATCGGACACGTATTTTTTTGTTAGGCCTATTTCCCAATTTTTCTCCCATGCCAGTTTCATCTCTGGTCTCTAAAGACTTCATTTCATTTATTAAATCCTGCCACGTGTGTTAAACACTAATCACTATTTATTGTGTTGAATATAGTGCTACCAACATTGAGAATGGTGAACTGAACAAGGTTAAGAACAAGCTAACAGGACAGTATGGACCAGTTCCTGATACTGCCAGAAATTATAAGGTAATCATACAAGCTGTTTCAGAAAGTATGTTTAGTACATTTCCTGCAATTTTGTCTTTCAACAGAAATTTGCACTTGGGTTGAAGGTTGTAAGAAACAAAAGTTCAAAAGCTTACAAGGTTTAAGTTTTGATTTGGTAAAATTGTGATTTTTGTCCTCACTAAACTTAATGAAAGCACTAAGATAGCACTAAGCAGCCGTGTGGTTGCGAAGGGCGATTTCTAAAGGTTATGTAATACTTTATTTTGAATGGACACAGACATGCTCATGTTGGCGGGCGAAATCTTTGAAAACGAATTTCTGCCGTTTGGAAGACCATATCTTCATGCAACTTTCAGGGTTTATTTCCCTTATAATGATCCAACTATGTGCTAAAAATTGTTTTGATATATGTTCAGTACTTTCTGCTGAAATTGGAAAAATAGGCCTGGTTACGTGCATTTTTTAAAGTTGTAACACTGGGGTTTGCAATATCTGTCAATATTTTCAAGACTAACGAATATTAATAAGGTTCCTATCCATTATGGTGTGCAGTAAAAATTTGCAGAAAAGCCTCCTTCATGAGTTATTAATTGATAAATATCACTCTTTTTGCCGGCTTCCATTGGTCGATACCGAGACCCACGCCAAGTCACGCCGAGTGACGCTAATGAATATGCTAATATGCTTTGTCATTGTGTTGCCGGGCCGGAATCGGTCAACCGTAGCGCCTACAGCGCTATAGGCCTTTGCTGAAAATCATGCACATGGTTTGATCAACAAAAATCCTCGTTGAAATTTTCCTTGGAGATGTTCAAGGTGTAACACTAGCGTTTGCAACAACAGAACATTTCAATCATACTGAGCATATTTTCAGAGAAACAACGTGCAAAAGGCCATGTTTTTCGGGGTGCACGAATATCACTGCTCTGTTACAGCGTCTAAGTACGTAATCGGATTAACTTTTCTTATCAACGGCCGACGCTTTGCCTTCGCAACCACATGGCTGTAAGTGCTTTATACAGTTGCATTAGTGAGGGACAACACTCAGTATTTACAAAGCATGCATTTTAATTAAGCGCATGAGATGTGTCCATAATTTAAATGGTGCTTTTCTTAATAAAAGTGATGAAAACCTCAAATGAGAATTGAAGTTTAGCATTTCTGAAATTTCGAATAACTGCATATAAATGCAAAATATAAAGAGAAATGTATTTTTATACACATAATATTAATGTAGTATTAACAAACTGATCCAAGGCATTTCATTAATGTGATATCATCGGCCTATATTCAATACAAACAGTCCTTAACTGAATTGTTACATATGTAAAACTCCAAGCAATAACCTCAAAGAAACGAAAACGTTGTTGTAAATTAAACTTGGTTGAGTGCAATTTTTTTGGACTTTATTCAGATTTCTTTGTGATTTATATGAGCTGGTCATTAGCTCCATGTTTCATCTCTCAATATTAGACATGTAACTGAGTACACGTAAAACATGCCTATTGAACCAAAATGCCTGTTATCATTAAACTGTCTATGTTGAAAGCTGCCTGTTCCAATAAATGCCAGGATTGGTTTGTTAATAAAAGCCCAGTAACCACATACCGTAAAACGGGGTGAATAGGGACAATTTTAACAGTTAAAGCAGTGCACCATTTTAACCACACGGCCAGTGGCAAAGATTCTTGTGCTATTTAATGTCCACTCAGGTTGACTTTGCATTGACAGCAAGAAGAAATCTCAGCAGTGTTGGATTAATTTTATATTTTTTTTTATTTGACTGTTCCTATTCACCCCGACTCGGGGGTGATTAGGAACAGAGTATGAAATACCCTCACTGCTCCCAGTTTACCCTTAGCAGGGGGAAATAGAGACACTAAGGTGTTTTTTTTTAACAACACAATGCTTAAATACAAAACTTCTTTGTACTTTATAGTAGCTTTTGTAGTATACTTCTGGCTTTGGAATGTTGGCACAATGGTTTTAAAGGTAAAAATAATAGAAAATAAACTCAGCTCTGTACTTCTGACTTTGGTACAATGGTTTTAACAAAAGTTACAAAAAAATATAATCTTACAACAGATGTCGATCTCTCTATAAACCTATAGAATTTTTCTAAGTAATAATGCAGATCCTTTTCATTTCTTCTATTTATGTACAACAGGCCTACAGCTGTCCAACCATGACTCACAAGACGGGAAACAACTAACATCTATCTTTGCATGGAAGAAACTCCGACGTCTTAGAATATCTCTCAAATCGCGATGGGGTCAAAACTTTGCATCTATCTTTGGACCCACTGGAGATAACCATAAGATTTCACATCAAGACCTCACAAATATGGTCTTGCATGTGAAGTTGGAGAAGCTCATTCCACGATTTACAGCGGCGACGGCCGATTGTATGTCCACTTTACTGTGCTTGACATATGTTTTGGCCCCAGGCTTCGGCCTTTATTCACGTGGCATCCTGTTCATTCACCCCGCTTATTTAGCAACAATATGAAAATAAAAAAGAAAAGGAAAAAGAATATATAAGGACTAATGCAAATGATTTCCTTCTCCAAATTCACATGCAAGACCATATTTGTGAGGTCTTGATGTGTAATCTGATGGTTATCTCCAGTGGGTCCGAAGATAGATGCAAAGTTTTGACCCCATCGCGATTTGAGAGATATTCCAAGACGTCGGAGTTTCTTCCATGCAGGGGTAGATGTTAGTTGTTTCCCGTCTTGTGAGTCATGGTTGGACAGCTGTAGGCCTGTTGTACATAAATAGAAGAAATGAAAAGGATCTGCATTATTACTTAGAAAAAAAATAATTTCAAAAAACTTTTTCTGCTTTTTGTCCCTATTCACCTCTGTGTTAATATTTGCCCCTTTTTACGGTACTGATCTGTGTGTTGTAGGAACAAGGCATTGCTTGGGTGGTGGTTGGTGATGAGAACTATGGTGAAGGTTCTAGTAGGGAACATGCTGCCTTGGAACCCAGACATCTTGGTGGTAGAGCCATCATTGTCAAGAGCTTTGCAAGGATCCATGGTAAGTAGAAAGCTGAAGTAGGATCGGTAGGTCTTTTGCCCTTGGTTTTGAATAAGGTGCTATTGGATTATTCATTAACCCTCCTACTCAGGCGCAGTTCTACGGGGGGGCTAGGGGGGCTGTAGCCCCCCAAAAATTTTGTCTAGCCCCCCCCCCCCCCCAAATAAATTCCTTAAAAAAAAAATTGCATTAGCAAAAAGAAGGATTGTGATGTACATGCGAACGGTCTCCCCCTGAAGAAGAAATAGCCGTGACAAGGGTGCATTAGCTAATATATTGTGAACGATTTTAGGATTTTATTGGCGCTCCCCATTGAAAATATGGCATGAGCCCCCCCCCCCCCCCCCCCCCCCCCCCCCCCCCCTTACATTGATTTTCGGAGGCCTAAGTGTCTGGAAAAAATAACCGGTCAACATTTCAGCACGACTCCCTGAAAAAAATTCTGGATCCACCGTGCTAGCCCCCCAAAATATTGGTTCTAGAACCGCGCCTGCTCCTACTGTTTAAACAGTCCCAGACAGGCAACCACTTCCCTGCCATGCCTTTTACACAGGCTAGTCACAAACAGTCTTTATAGGCTAGCACTCTGACAAGTCCAATTCAGTCAACAGACAAAAGCAGGAAAGTGGTGGCAATCTATCTTATGAATCACCTACAGTCAAAGCACAGCTGTATCAAGTTACATAAACAGTCACAGCCAGTCAATCCTGCTTTATGTACGCTGGGAATTCTTAACTGTTGAAAACAGTCACTTGATTGAATTGAAATGAAAAGACAAATTTGCTCAGAATGTATGTTTGCATAGGAGGGTTAAGTGCTCTGTTAGGAATTACCGATACTTATCATTCAAATACGTTGCCCACAGGAAGTCGCTGTATGTGCACTGAAATAACACTTGACATATTGGCAATTGAATTTGACTGAATGCTTTAATAAAACCAACCACTGGGAACATCAAAGTTTTATTTAAATGATTCATATCATGGTGACCATGACATGCATCACGTATGAAGGCATTATGCATTTTTAGTCTTTAAGTTTATATTTTTTTAATGAAGCTTAACTTTTTATTGTTAACTTTTATTACTCATTATGAATTCAATGCAATTTTGCCATTGGCAACCAAGTTGAATTTTAATAAAACATGAATAATAAGCAAATAGTAACTTTTCCTTCCATTTTTGACTGCTAACATGAATGAGTAATGATTTAATTAAGACAAAACCACTCTCTGGTGTACTAAAAGAAACCTAAAAAGATTGAATGTCTTGAAATGCAGAAACTAACCTGAAGAAGCAAGGTATGTTACCTTTGACCTTTGCTAATGCTGCTGATTATGATAAGATTCAGCCAGATGATGAAGTCAGTCTGCTGGGAGTAATCTCACTTGCCCCTGGATCGGTAAGGATACCTAGTCAATATACACTTGTTTTGTAACTTAGTGCATATTAAATGAATATACATTAACCTGAACCCATCCACACGTTTGTAAAGGAACCCTTCTTTATCCACCAATTAATGAGCAGAACTCTCAAAAAATCCCCCCCCCCAAAAAAGTACTGAATTCACCATATTTGCCCTTGAATGCAGGGAAAGATGACATCATTTTAAACCCTAACCTTCCCAAATCCTCCCAAATCCTCTTTGCAAAATGGAGGATTCTGCAGGATTGAGGCTATATGGCAAAAGTGCGTTGCTGATTTCGGAGGATGCACTGTGTCAAGGTCTTGGGCCGGACCTTGTGTTGTTTATGCTCAGCCGTGCATAAATTTAGGACTAAATTACACTTGAAATCCTCCGCACTGCTCCAGGATGTCACTGTCTCTGCCTCAACATATTGACAGTGATTGCTGGAGGATTTTGCAGGATTGAGGTTGTAAGCTATTTTTACATGGAGGCAGTTGGAGGATTTTGCAGGATTGAGGTTACATCCTAGCAAAAATGCCTAGGGATTGGGGTTAATATACACGCAAACTAGTCTGTTTGTGAAAAATTCAAATGTCATTGCCACAAGGCATTTTAGTTTATTCTGAGTACATGTATTACTTTTCTGTTTTCATATCACAGCAAGTGACGTGTCGTTTGAAGCATAGTGATGGTACATGCGAGGAATTCCCACTGGATCATAGTATGAATGAAGGGCAGATAGAGTGGTTCAAAGCAGGCAGTGCACTCAATAGGATGCGGCAATTGATAGCATCCGAGTGATGCATCACATCAAATATATATCTGGAATACTTGGTCAATGATCCACCCTTGTCCATACTGCAGGCATCAATGTTTATCCATTGTTTTCAAATGAATGTGTCATGACAAATTCTCACATAGGTACAACTTTAGGAATTATATGATTGCCAATTGAAATAATATATATATTAAAAGAATTTTAAAGGCCAACACATCCCTTACATATGTAAGCAAAATGTAAGTTTCTTTTCTTACAAATTTAACCTAATTTGGAATGGATGCTGAGGAGTGCATACATGATTGGACATGAATATTTCAGGAATTACATTTATAAAATACAATTTGATTTTCCTGTGGTTGCAGTGTTCTTTATACAGATGTTGCTGATACTAATATTCAAATACATGTTTAGATTTGTACTTATTCAGTCAAATATTGTTGTGTAAAAGAACGTTATGAATTGAGATAAACATATTTAGTATTATAAGGGCAGTTGCACCTGGTCACAAATAATCCGAATAGTAATTACACAGAGGATTATTTTTGATGCCCATTGTCAAAAATATTGTGAAACAAGCAATGTCATCTCAGATGACCCTGGTTAGAAACATGCTTTGTGAACCATACGTGTTGAAATTTAAACCAGAAAGACATAACGTTGAGTGGAATTTTCCTGAGTTCAAACTTACAAGATGAAAACTTTTGTAATTGATAATTTCAATAAATATATTGAACCTGTCTGGTTTTGCTTTGTAAATTAAATCCTCTTCCGCTTTTTGATGTAACGTATTGACAAAAGTTATTCGCATTTGCCTGTACCATACCACATAGTTGTTTTTTATTCAGGTCAATTGACAATATTGATGAACTTTCTGTTGTTCAAATCCTACAAGATCTGAGAGAAAATTTCAGACCAGGTGATATCGTTGAGTTGGGAAAATCAAAACTGTTATGAATATAACAATTTTGTAGTGAAGTTCTTTTAGATTTTCCATGTTAACTCAAATATAAGGTGGTATTGTAGGAATTCAGGCCAAGTTGAAGGGTCATTTACTGAACACTTTGAGTGAAATGAAGCGTTTGGACACAGATCCAGAGATAGCATGCAAGAGATGTAGGAATATTTGCAGAAGACTTGGATGTTTTCAGCTTATCCTTTTATCCAAATTCCTTTCCTTAATCAAAAGTACTCCGACAAGTCAGCACGGTTGGAGTACTTTTGATTAAGGAAAGGAATTTGGACAAAAGGGTAAGCTGAAAACAGAAGGACGTACTCATGGAAGGACTTACTCTTACAACCGATATCAGCTTGGCATTTCATTTAATTCATGCAACATAAAGATAAGTTATCGATTAGACTTTCAATTGTTTAGGGTGGGGGTGGCTTTACACAAGATTTCTGCCATACTAGAAATAAATAAGTCAGCACCCAATATTGTTAATTTCCCAAATTCTTACAAGTTAAAAGCACCATTAGGCTAAAGCACCCATGCATATATGCCTCTCCCTCTGCGGTGAGTATTGAATTGCAAAAATGGTATTAAACAGGTACTTTATATTGACATAATACATGCTTTTTAATATCAGATTTTATAAGGTAAAGTGCGACGCCTCCATGAAATAACTATCAACAAAATGTGTGACCTTTTTTTCTCACACACAATGCTTCCCATGGACAGAATAAAAACAAAGATCTTGGTTGAAGACTGCCTGATGTCTGGGTTTTATTGAATACTTTATGTTCACTATTTGACGAGAGCATTTCAGAAATCCTGCCCAATCCCTAGCATAGCAAAACATTTTTTACACAAGCCCTATGGCATAGCTGTATGGAACACCAAATATCCTAAGGGGTTTTGCACCAGTGGCATTACCAGTGGGTGTTCTCAATTTCTACTGATGTTGCTATGTGTGGAAGGTCAAAATCATCAACTGCCTCATTTATGCCGGTGGTTTTTTTTTTATTGAAGTTTGTTCAGGTAAAAAAAAGGAATTCTTGATACAACTGTCCACTTGGCTACTGTCTGGTTTAGTGCCATGGGAATTGGAGCACAATTTAGCGTAGTCATATTTGAAATGGTACAACAATCTAGCCTCTGTCAACATTTCCGGAGAATTGTTTAATACAATAAGCCAGTTCGGTATTTCAACTACACATGCGCACAATGATAGGGTTTACGGGTCATTCGGGATAATCGAAGGCATATGCGTATGAACACATGCGGAGACGGTCGCACGATCGTAATTACGAGCAGAATGGGCGTCCATGTAACAACACGTATCATCACGTCAGTGATTTTATCCCGGTAAAATACATACACATGTACTCTGAAATGTGTAATTTTTTTGGATACTTTCTTTGGTATGTTATTTATTAGCATATTTGACAACCACAGCCATAAATACAAAATCGGTCTACTATTGAGGAACGTGAATTAAGTCTATTTCTTCAAGCAGAGGGCAATTTTTAAGGCTTTTTTTGTTTGATTGGACTGCACACCTGTTCTGGACAATCTATTTAAAACTTGTGCGATTTAAGTGTTTCTCAAATCCCTTTATCAACAAACCCTGGCAATATTTTAAAGGACTAAAACTTGAAGTATAATTATTGGAAAGCACTTGCACAATAAAGTGGGAAACTAGACTTTAAAGTGTTGCCTTCCATTTAACAATAACCATCAATAATGGGAGTGGCTTTAATTGGAGCATCGTTTTCATTTCAACAATGAAAAGCTCATGTTGCCTTTCCCAGATTCTGAAAGGGGGGGGGGGCAGGACTCAAGTGGGAAGACCCATGCCCCCATGCATCCTGCCTTATTAGTTACACACCACTGCAAATTGTTCCTTGTCACTTAAAATCATGATATTGTTTTGTTTTTAGCTTAAAATTGACCTTTTGGTTCCCCATTCTTTTGCCGCAGTCAAATTTCAATTTTCATCAAAAGTGTAAATTACAAAATGAAGGAATGTAGTTCAATTGATTTCGTTAACTCCATCCCTTGGAAATTTGGTTGGAAAATGTCCTGAACCTACAAAAGCCTCCAGGGTGCAGTGAACCTGCAAGATAAGCAACACTGAGTGTTGAATTCAGAGGAAAAGGGAATAACACCAATATTTCTAATGTTCAAGCATTAGCTCTTAAAAAGAGAACTGAAAAAAATAATAGAGTTTGATCTTTTTCAAAATGTGATATATAATTGACTTGTTTACAATCAGAATTTATGGAGCATAAGTTAACTCTGAATTTAACTATGCAGAAATACCGTAACTGAATGCGTGTGTTTCATCAACATATTCAATCCTTAGCTGTATGGTTATGATATAAACAGTCTACAAAAGTGTTTACAATACATTCAATAGCAATCTAAGAATTTACAATCATTTTCTTCAGTGCCAGTAAGAATGTCTTGAAGTAATGAGAGTGGATTCTTTCCATTAGTATCCATCAATTTGGTTTTCTCGTCCAGCAGTTCTTTTAGGTTTAACATTTCTAGTTCCCCTTGCATTTTCTTCATGAACGTTACCATGTCAGAAGCATCCATTTTATCAACTGTCATCTCTTTTGGAAGGCAATTGTATAAGTTCAGGAGCATCTGGCATGCCCTTCTTGCCACTGTTGGGTCTTCATCCTCTAAAACCGCAACAAGTTTTCCAATAAGTACTTCCTCTTTGAGAAATTGCAAAAATTCAAACATTGGTTTAGCTGGCTGATCATCAGTACCTTTGGTAACTTCACACAAATCCTTTCCTTCAGAGTTCTGGAGTTTTTCTTGATCAGTTTCTTCCCTTTCGTTTGCATCAGATGTAGTGTTAATTCTAACTGGTGTGCACATTTCAAGAAGAGTTTGCCAGAATATCAAAGCTCCATGCTTGACTTCCCAATCAAGATCAAACATAGCTGTGGAGACAGCACTCCGTATCTGGGATGCCACAGATGACTCCTCAGCAAACTCTGTAGCATTTCTGTTTGCCAGCTTGTTGTCCTTACTTTGTGGCATTCTCACACATGCCTCATCAGTGGAACCCTGTAATCTCCCAGGAAGACCAGTCTCAAGCCATGGAAACACCTTGAGCCACTGTGTATATGTGTTAACAGTGGCTCGTCGAAGAAATCCTGGGCTGTCATCAAGAAGAAAGTTGATGAACTCCCCCACCAACACAATCTGGAAATTAAGGTAAAAGGGTAAAAATAATTAGATTGTGCTCATTTTTTCTTGACACTGCTAACAATTAGTGGTTACACAGCAGCATTTACTGTTCATACAGAGTCTAAAGCAGACAAACCAATCCAAACCTACCTCGGACTTTCCAGTGGTTTGCAACAAATCCTTCCACAGGTCTTCTTGTTTTGAGATATCAACCAGTGCATTCATTGCAGTTGCCCTGACAAAGCTTTCTCCATCCTGAATGCATTCCAGAATCCGTACATGCAACCTGTGACACTTGAACCAGCTACATAATTCATCTGTGAAAATATACATGTGACATTGTCAGTACAGAATACCGGCATACTGTTTTCAATTTTCAGTTTTAGGTTTGAAATACAATGCTGTGGACCTTACATGAACAAAATCCCATGCTTCAGTTTATGGAGTCTATTCATAAAGACTGATGTTATTATAAAGGGTGGATAAAAAAAAAAAACCCTGAGATATAGGTTTTCCCGGCCAATTTCGCAAAAATAGCATTCAAATTCATCTTGATAGCGGCCAATTTGAAGCGAAGTAGCGCCCTGCTGTCATTCCCGTGGTTCGTATTAGATTTCAGGCGTTCAAATTAGTTTGAAGACCTGACATTTTCATGTTTAACACATCCTAAATTGAAGTTTTGTCATTCGGTTCAAGTGGTCATTCAATCTAGCAGTTGATTTGGTTTGCATGAGATTCTTGTTTTCGTTTTCATTTCCGCGCATTCTATTTAGCACTTTTTTCATTCAAAATAAAAGTCAACGAAGGTATACGATGCGAGGCTTTTCATTTCTTTCACCTTTTCATTATTTCTGCTTCATGTCGTGGTCCAGTTTTGTGTTTTTGGCCCCTCCTCTAGGCAGGTTTTCCCGTCTGCCAGGTCTCTGATACGTTACTACAATTGACCTGGCAGTAGATATCTGTTCATGCAAAGATTGTCTGCAAGTTCAAGATAGTCTTGAGCATCAAACGAGCACGATCTACAATTGAAATTCTCATGTAATGCCCATGAGCTGGCATATTGATATTTCAAGTGCTTCAATCCAACAGTTTGCATGGTGATCAGAGTAGTGGCGAGTCTTGTGGGAGACAGGTTTTTATATTTATATTTCCAAACTGGAACAAAAGCGCTTTATCTTATTCTAACAAATAACAAACGACTTAACGACATTTCCACATATGATTGCTTAATGGTGAATTCGAATGACCAAACTTACACAGCTGGAAGCTCCGGCGAATTTGGATGCTCGTTTGTGCAATTTGCATTTGAATGCCCTATTGTTGAAATTGCATGATTAAAATGTGAAATCGCATGCTTTTAATGTGAAATTGATTGCACGTGCATTCAAATTCGTGCAAAAATGGGTGATTGGTCGCCAATTTGGCTGCCAAATCTGCTAACTTGGCCGGGAAATCTATATTATTGCTAATTGGAACAGAAGTAGGGCACATGTGAATCAAAGGGAGATATCCTCTGTCAGGGTTGAATCTCCTCTTGAAAATGACACCCTGATCATGTCCTTACATTCACGGTTGACTGAGCAGTGACCAATTTTATGAAAGGGTCTATTGAGAGAATTGCGCCACTTTCAATTGTGGTTTTTGTGTCATTTGTCACAGAGTGAAAGGCTATGGTTGCCAATTAAGGCGGGGGGGGGGGGGAGATTTCACCATGAAAAGTGGCGCAATTCTCTCAATAGACCCTTTCATAAAATTGGTCACTGCTCAGTCAACCGTGAATGTAAGGACATGATCAGGGTGTCATTTTCAAGAGGAGATTCAACCCTAGCAGAGGATCCCTTTGATTCACATGTCCCTTTGATTCACATGTGCCCTACTTCTGTTTCAATTAGCAATAATATCTTGGTTTCATTTTTTGGATCCACCCTGTATGTGGCAGGAATGACATTACATCTGACATCAATTAAATGATTTTTACATCACTTAAATATTATCTTACACGTCATTATTATCACAAAGGTGCAGAACATCAGATGTGTAGCATGCATCCCACAACAGCATTTCATATCCAATAGGAAAGCTCACAGTAACAAAAATACTACATTGCAAACTTTTATTCAATTTGCACAATATCCAAACATTGATGACTGCATAGATGGCACCTTGGATGCTATATGCATTCTTAATAAGGGAATAAATGTGTACTTGGGAGGTTTTAAACATAGTGTTTAATACCCACCAAGCACATATTTATTCCCATTCATAAATACCTTTTCGGTCAAAAAACAAAATTTTTGGGTCCAAAAATTCAAAACAAGTCAAAAACTAGACGTTGCCAACCATTTTGTTCAACAATTTTACTTCATGTTTTATGAAACAGCCCTCTGACTATAATATGGAACGTCCCTCTACAACTCCTTACCTTATAAAGAGATTGGCGCGTGTCGCACGTACTGTACGACGTCGCGCAAAATACAGTTGGGCTGGTGTAGTGTGAATTTCGGACTATGAAATACTGATTCACTGTAGTACTGCCCGCATGCCTACATGAGGATTGTGAACCTTCAACCATTTAAACGGTAAAAGGCACTTGATTTCATAGGAGTCCAAATTTCACATCTCACTGGAAAAGACCAGCCAGCCATATGTCTTTATCATCCATTTAAGACCGGCCACGTGACG